AAAAATTTAGTTAATAAGTTTTATTTTTTTATTATAGATTAAAATGAGAAAATATAAATAATATATCTTTATAACTAAAAATTTAATAAGAAAATAGCTAACTTTTATAGTTTATATAAGCTTTATTAAAATATACTACCTTTGTTATTATGTTATATTTTGTAAAAAATTTAGTTAATAAGTTTTATTTTATTTGTTATTAAATATATAAGTTAGTTTTATAAAAAGTTTACTATACTTTTAATTATTATTTAAAGCTAGAAATAGTTACTTTTTTATATACTACTTTTCTATTATAGTATTAGAAAATTTTAATCTTTATAAATATATTTTTCAAATTAAAACTATGAGTTATTCAAATTAAAGTTAAAAACATATTATCTAAAAATATAATACTAAACAAGTATTTCGATAACAAGTCTTTATTTCGTCTAAGAAAAAACTCAATATAATATTTAACAAAAGCAGATTCTAGAATTTATAAAAAAACTAGATTCAAAAATCAAATCAAGATCTAAGTTCTATATAACTATTATGTAATCTAAAAATTGAATCTTTTCAATCTTATTAAAACTCGATCACAAATATCTATTAATTATTTATATCATATCTTATTAAAATAATTTGTTTTAATTAATATTTAATTGCTAATTACTAAATAAGGAGATCGCTAAGATCGCTAAAGTGAAGTAAATATATTTATTAATATTAAAATTAGATTAAAATTAAGTAATAGTAATATTATATATAAAATTACCTTCCTGATATTTTTTACTAATACTTAAAAGTAGATTTAAACATCTATTTTCTTGTATTATTTATATTTGTATTTTTTGTATTTTTTCTGTTAGAAATTTGTAATCTGATTGGCTAATACAAATTAATCATTACCCGACAAACTTATATGATCATAAATTTATTTATTAATATTTTATAATATAATTATGTTTATTCAAATTAAATTCGGCAAACAACTCCTTACTAATCATGATCATTAATTGCTCATTATTGGACAAATTTTTAAATTCGGTAATTTGACAAATGATTAGCTACATATGCTGCAAAGTAGTATAAGTTCATTTGCCAAAAAAATTTTTGCCTATTAATATATATTTACTTAAATAAGAGATTGTCTAAAACCAGATTCATTAAGATTAGTTTATTTAATGTATTTAGCAGTTTATTTATATATAAATATTAAGAATAGAACTTATGCAATATGTAGATCTATATGTAAATGAATCTGGCTTTTAACTGACTTCTAAATAAGGAAATAAACTAGAACAATATCTAATAAAAATCTTTGTTTTTCATATCTAATTACTAAATTATCACAAAGATCTACATGAGTCATGTGAATTTTCCGTCTGTGATTCTGCAAATTTCTGCAATTTGGCCAAAATTATATAGAGTCAGCCAGCATTACGATCCGAAAACTCCGGCCAAAAATTCAAAATTTAAAAATTAATTTCGTGAACGCAGAAAATCATCGGGATCGACAATTACAGGAATTTAAGGATATATTGTTGCTATAAACCGGAGGGACGAAAATTTTTTTCAGAGATTTAATTTTGAAAATTACTAGTAATTCGTGTCTAGCTAATGACAAAACGCGCCGTAATGAACGCAGCTTCCGGCATCCGGAAATTTTGTGCACTGATTTCGCCTATGAAAATTTTTCTTTTCGTTTGTTTTTTATCATTGCAGTATTGTATATACTGTACAGTAATACATGAGTGAAAAAACTATACGTACATATACAGTTACAGGTTTTCATTCAGCAACACACATATCAGTATTATATAATATATTGTATCTTAATAAATAAAATTCCTGATTAAAAAATCACACAATGGCGTGGGAACATTTAAAATAATCGAATTACTGTATTACACGATACAAAAAGTTGTATACCTGGTCATCGGATGTTGAATAGTGGATCTTGTCCTCAAGATACAAATTAAATATCGATATTGAACTTTTTTGATCTTGTGTATATCATGACTAGTGTTGGAAATTCGACGTTCTAATGTTCTCATTACTGCATTAGAGCATCACTTCTAAATTGAGAACATTTCTTCTAAACAAGTGTTCGCTTATATTAATAATCATGAAAGCATTGTTTGAGTAAGCTTGATAAGAATGAGAACATTTTTAAGGATTTAATAAATTATTTGGGTTGGAGCTTATAAACAGACTTTCATATGATTGGTCTGTGGAAATGAATTGCTCGGGTAACTTATTTATACACTTTAAAGTATATATGTATTAGAATGTAACGTTTCACTAATAAGAAATCACTTTAATAGATCGTTAGTATTCACTGTGTAAAAGAATCTTGAAAGAATCTTACTCTCGACTTATAAATTTTAAAAGCGAAACTTTTACTATTTATAGTTACAATTATTAGTTATACGAGATATATAAGTTCGTGAAATGCAAAAAAAAAATGGCTAACTAAAAATGATGTTAGAGACGTTACGCGTAAGTTTTAATGTTTTTTAATTAAAGAATTTTATATATTATTTATCGTTTGACATGCTATTTTAATATACTGTAATTTAAGCTTAACTAACACTTATGACTTGCATATTTTAATTAATATAATAGAGTTAAATCGGTGAGTAGGTAGACGTAAATGTGGTTTTTGGTTTAGGTTGATAAAAGATAAATATGTACAAGTGGTACTGTTTATTATTTGCATAGGCTAAGAATCATTTCTTATTATACTGAGAATAGATTAGAATTATTCGTTTCTTGACTTTTTTTTATTTGGCATCATAAATTCATATGAACTTAAGCCCGAATATTAATTTAATCGGTTTGAGCCGGTTTTTAGTCTAGTCAAATCTTGGCAATTTTTATTTTTGGAAATTTCTGAATGTGAGTAATTCAACAATTTAGTCTCGTATTTTAGGTTCCACATCGGATTGGTGTACGTACTGTACTGTAAGGTATGTACAGAACCCACTATATTAATATTAATAGTAAACTTCATATACTGGTCAAAAAATTATATTTTTACTAGGAAATATATTGTAAAATATAGTGCAAATCTTTACTTAATTACCATATTTCAATAATATATTATCTAGTAAAAAATACCACTTTTCTACCGGTGATATCTCAACTCACGTGTGCCATTATCTAAATCACATTTTTCGAAGATAACTATTGGCGCTAAGAACAAATGATTCCATACTTCGTTCAAGAGGTTTTCCGATTTGTTCTCATAAAAGGCTTAATAATAACGGATTAAAAACAATCACATACAAAGATAATATAATAGAGGTAACCAAATGAAGCGGAAATAGAAAAAAATAAATTTAAAAATTGAAAAATAATTTTAATAACGAATTACTATTCATAAAAAAATTAATAAATGATTATCTACGTACAATTTTTTAGAATTGTTATATAACTAATTTTGATAGGATAATCCAACAAAAAAAATTTTTTTACTAATTGGGATTGCTCGAGATCTTTTATCTGAGTAACAAATCATAAATTTATATGTGTTCGGAAACCATAATTTTGGACCTTTAGTTAGTTGATAGTTGATTAGTACCATGGTACCTGTATATTAAAGCGACACGCACTGTATAATTTTAACTACCGGTACATAGTATTATGTGAGCAAAACAATAAGCCTCAATTTTTTACTATTCAAGGCAAGATAACAACTATGACCTTTGTACGTAACATGTAATTTGCATTGATTGGATTGGACAATTAAATGTAATGCTGCAGCTCACGAGGATACACAAGATATAAAATTAACGTTAAAATTCATGTGAGAATTGGAGATAAGGTGTGAATCAACTTCAACGCTTTAAAAAAATATTGTGGAAGTTTTAGGTGTTTTTTTTTTTACAAAAATACTTAGGTTCTTATTAAAGTAAAATGAATTCTGTCCGTTAAAAAGCTTCCGTTTTTCGTAGGTTTTTAGTATAAATTTATACCAAAAAGGTTCATGGTAAGAAATTTATATTTTAATTGCTCATTATTATCGATAAATAGGAATTATCAAAGTTATAATCAGATTTCTAATTGATTAATCAACTTTCACTTTGCTATGACACATAGTTGCACATGCTAGACAATATTTGCACTAAAAAGATTGAATCATTCTTTCTTGATGGAGGTTAAAATATATACTTATCAATTTCAAATTTCAAATGCGGATTGTATTCAGATCAAACTTTTTTTAAAATCGAAATTCCTATCAGTTTGGAGGTGGATAATACAATTTATGTACGTATGCAACTATATTTTCGGGGCGGAAGTGGCTATTAGGAATTACAAACCTACAAGATCAGGTTCTCGTTAGGCTATTCAATTTAATTCGGTGGTTTACATTATCCCCCTGCTCCCATCTCTCTAAGGAATACGGATTATTTTCGGAAAAATTTTATATAGTAAGGAACATTTTGGAAAAAAAATTTTACTACGTAACCCCTTGTAAAACCTTCCCTTTCTAAGTGGAGATGTTTAATGTAAACCGCAAAATTAATTGGAGAGGACTTAATTTAAAAACGAATAAGATAAACGTTATGAAATTTTATTATTTATTTTTTTTAGTTAGTTAGACTCAATCAACCCACGATTCTGGAAAGAAGCACTAGAGGTCTATAAATTTGACAGATTTCATCCTAGACAATATCAACGATTTTTGAGTCAGTAGAGCAGAAATGTAACAAATTTTTCCTGAACGAATTTTTTTAATACTTTAATTAAAAATAATTCAGCAAGAACTTAAATTAAATTAAGAAAAATTTTATTAAAAAATTTTTATTAAATTAAATAAATTCTTGTTAAGTAATTTTTGTTTAAAGTTTAAAATATCTTGTTAAGTAATTTTTGTTTAAAGTTTAAAATATTTCGCTAAAAAAGATTGGTAGTATCTACTGACACGTCCCTAATAAGGAAGTCAAATTTAAATTGTCATCTAGATTTAGAAAATAAACCAATGCCATGGTAGTGGTCAAGGCACTGTAGATCTACAAATTTATCTCATCTAACACTAAGGGAATTCGTGTACTCAAATTAATTTCTTCTGTACCTTTTGCACCGCAAAGAATGTTCTATCTTTCTAATAAAATTTATATTTTTCTTTATCAGTTTTAAGCATCTGGCTCTTAAGAAATTTTAAATGCTTTGCGAATATAATAAAGAATAACGGTAAATATAGAAAATTGTTTAATCATTCAATAAACTTGCTAGTTTTCAAAATGGGGAGTTTCTGATTAAGTGTAGTGTAATAACATTTTGATGAAATTTCTTATTAGTGATTAAAAGGAAGACTTGTCTGAATTTTTTCTTTTTTCTTTTGAGAATCGGTATAAATATTTTAAACTGTCTCATCTTTTTTAGAATTTAAGATATTGATTGAAGATTCGAAATCAACGTCAAAAAAAAACAAAAAAAAAAAAAAAAAAAAAAACGACTATCTCTTGGTATATCGAGTATTTCGCGATAATTGATTCAGACCTGAATTAAAGAAGACGAATATCGCGAGCAAACTTTGAAAAGAATGCAAGTAATTGCATTCGCTAACTGAAAAGGTATTTTAATAATAAGGATATTTAAATATCTCTATTATCTAGTAATTAAATGAACATTTGTACTATTATATCTTTTATAGTAAAAATCCAATAGTGATTCAGCGCTTTTTAATTCATTATCTTAGTTCTACTTGTCGATACTTAGATATTGATGCAGCAATCTTCAACAGGCTTGAATATAGGATTATGCATCTATCAAATTTTTTCAACTTGACAAACTAAACCCATCATCAAAAATGCTAAGCAAACTCAACCCATAAAGAAAAACTGGTCTTTGTCATGCAGTTACTTATTTTGCAAGTACAAGAAAGTTTTTAGAATAACATGTAAGTACATTGCAACGGACTCTTGGGTTTTGTTTAAAATGTGAGATCTTAAATTATGTGATTAAATCTAAATTCGCCAGCCATTCAATAATATTTATATATTTTTTTCTTTTAGTTCTTAATGAGCTTTAAATGGACGATCTCAAAAGTAGAAACCAAGAAATTAATTTTGTAAAAAAATTAATACCTAAATTTTAACAGCCAATATCTTGATGAATTTTCGGTGATTTAAAATTGAGAAGAAACTTTAAATCTTAAAAGTTTCTTCTCAATTTTAAATCATCGAAAATTCATCAAGATATTGGCTGTTAAAATTTAGGTTTAATTTTTTTACAAAATTAAATTCCTTGGTTTCTACTTTTGACCAATGATGATTACTTGATGTTTTCCTAATGAATTTGGGATTTAATCACACCTTATAATCCGACAGATAGTACAGTATAATACAGGTCAGAATAGTCTTGTTTATTTATTTATCTTTCCTTATTTTATCTATACGATATATATATATATATATATATTTGTATACGCTTTTTTAGCAAAATTGATCAAAGACACTCATATTTTGTATTCGTTGATTGTTTATACGCCTTATATACTTGGCCGAATTATATTAGTCATTTTCAAAAGCATAATCGGACAATTTCGCCATATATAGAAGAGTATGGAAATTTTTCCGATTCTGATCATACCTTTTAAGAATAATGCTTTTTTTTTTTTTATTTTTCCGTAGATATTACCGGTACGCATTTTTTTTAAGACTAGACCAATTTGATTTAGTGGTTTACATCACTCCCTTCATTTGCTACCCCCTCTCCCTCATAATAAAAGAAAAAAAAATTTTTTTTGATGGATAACATAAGGACTACGGAATTTTTTAGAATTTTTTTTTTTTTAAAAAATTTTACTATATAACTCCTTGTAAAAAAAAAAAACCCCTCTTTCGAAGTGGAGATGTGATGTAAACCACCGAATTAAATTGGAGTGGCCCCCCCTCCGCACTAATAAAAGAAAATTAACGTTAAACGAAATTTTAATTTTAAGACGCCTTACTATATATTAGATTTTGGATTCCAATCCTATTGTAGTCTCTAGACGGAAAATATTCAAGGGATTTGCCTATCCTAATTCCCCGTAACTCCATGTACAAAATTTTACTAATTGCATTCCTAATCAAATTTATATTGGGGCTAGAGTCAATTAAGTGAGTATCAAAAATCGAGTTTCCTTTCTTATTAAACCCAACAGAATTATTATTTAATTGCTCATAATTATGCGTCTTTATATTTGTTTTAATCTCTTACTCAGATAAATAAGAATCCTTTCTATTTGACGAATTTTGGTTATATTGAGCATTTATTTACCTACTACTACGGGCTAAAATAGTAAATATTTTAGACTTCTCGTCAGAGGTGCGGGACCATAAGCTTATTAAGGCCAAGCCAATTTGATTCAGTGACTTATATTACTCCTTCTCCCTCTAGTAACCAAAATTTAGATAATTAACGTAAGGACTACGTTTATTTCAGAAAAATTTTATATAATACGAACATTTTGGAAAAAAATTTTTTTTTACTATTTAAACCTTTGTAGAACTTCCCCCTCCCTTTTTCGAAATGGAATGTAATGTAAACCATCGAATTAAGTTGAACTGGCTAATTATTGGGACTTTCGTGTGGTCAATATGAAACTCTCCAAAGTATGACATTTACTTAATTCGAACCACAATACGTCGGCTTCATCACAGTCGTCGTCTAATTTTGATTTAGGTTCAGTACGTCGAACCTTTAATATATTCTTTAAATTTCTTTACGGTAAAGTTATATTAATACTTTTATTTATTTAATATTATTAATCCATTTTTAACAATATTTAGAGTGAAGCAAGTTTTCTGATCTGCATGGTTTCCTTCCCAATGTAACATCTGGGGGTGAGTCAATAGAAATCAAACAAATTGTTTTTATTGAAATTTTTTTGAAACTTTAAACAACAATAACTCAACAAAAGTTTTATCAAATTTAATAAAATTTTTTTAAATGAATTCTACAATTTGTAATATTTATTTTAAAAAAATTTTTATTAATTTTGATAAAGTTTTTGCTAAGCTATTGTTAGTTAAAGTTTCAAAAAAATTTACTTAGAAAAAATTTCTTGATTTCTATTGACTTAACTCCATCTGATCCCCCTCACGCCAATTGCGACACTGATACAAGTTTTGCCGCATTGCGTAATGTTGTAATTCCGGAAGACAGAGTTCTGCAAGGTCACAAAAAAAACGAAGAGCTTTATTTAATAGTCTTTTCTCGAAAATTATACTGAACGTACTTTTATAATTCGGCGCCAACCACACGTGAATTAGTTATCAATTTTTGTCAAAACAAATAAGTTTTGTTATTTTTTATAAAATTATTGCATTAATAAAATTTCCTTGCATTAATGTTATAGTTAGGTTAAGGTAAACTCCTAGAAAGAAAATTCCTTTACTAGGTACAGGAGCCATTTCGTAATTACCTCCATTCTACAAGGACTCAATGGTTAAAGACGATTGATTTTTACTGGGAAATATATGGTACAAAAATCTGATATTAACTTAATATACCAGTAGTAAATATAAATATGTAATAGATATTCCACGGGCTGTTGTGAATATCATGAATTAGCACGGCGAAGCCGTGGTAATACATGATGTCACGGCACACCGTTGAATATCTGTTATATTTCACGGTCCTATGCCCGTAACATTTCTGATTAAAAATTTTTACTGATGATGTCATGCCCGTGGATATTTTCACGGCATTACATCATCATAAAAATATCATCAGAAATGTTCACGGGCGAACATATAGGGCCGTGGAATATATTTAAATATTGAATATTTAAATCCATTTACTGTAATTAAGTTAATATTTGGAAAAAATGTGAGACGCAACTGAATTAAATTGAAGTGGCCTTAGAGGTCATATTTATGACAAAATTTTGCAAGGAAATAAACAAGCTTTAGATTTACGAACCACAGTATTTTTTGGATTGTTCTGCTTTTTTTTTGTTTTTTTTTTTCTGATCTTGAAATTTAATTGGTCAGCAAAATTTTTAGGTTGACATCTGCGCAATTATTCTCGGCCAAATAACTTGCGTGTTGTGTTTATAGAATTTCCCACATCACCACCTTGGGATTCGATTTCAGTGCAGTTCCGGAATTATTTTCCGGGACAATCTCTTTTATGATTAGATTTTAGTTTATGTAATCGGCTGTGTAAGGATAACGTGACGGCACGAAACCTCCAACCTGTGGCTCCTAAACTGTGGCTGTAGCAAGACTCTAGTGTCATAACGACGTATCAAGCGTCGAAGTAACACTGACAACATCCAAATGACGCTAGGACGCGTCCTATAATTTATTAAAATGTATGAATTAGCATTGATTAATAAAGAGATAGTTTTTCACATAATAAAAAAAATTGGGTTGCCTTTATTCATTCCCAACTATTGATATGTTATCTAAGCCAAACACTCATACATTGTATTCTGCAATCGTAAAACCGTAATATTAGCAAACAATGACATTAGTCACGGGATAAATCAGGCGCAATCTAAATTTTTTTAGATATGTTGTAGCAGGGCCGATGATTTTCTGCGTTGCACGGATACAGAAAATTTCATAAAATACTGCAGAATTGCCACGAAAAATTTAAATATAAATATTTGTATCCTGAGTCACTTGCTCTAGTACTATTTTGTAAAGAAAAAATTTTGAAATTTTATATCAAAAGAAAGATTGCAGAACCCATAAAAATACCACGGAAACCTTGCAGAATTTATCAATTTGATGCGCAGAATTTACAATTTAGCACGGACGGAATTATAACTAAGCATAACCAAATAGTAAATTTTACATATAATGAGCAACTCAATAATCTTAATCTTAATCTAGAAAAAATCGGTCTCCCAACGTCTGGAGCAAGAAATTTCTAGTGAATAGTAAAGGTGGGCACCGAAACC